GTCATTGAAGTCATTTTGGGCAGTGAACCAGCAGATGGAAGACCTTTTTCTCTCTCTCCCTCTCTTTGTAAATCTGCCTTTCCAATAAAAGTTGAACTTCTATCACAGATATAGTAGCAATATAAAGAGACTAAGCAGCTATAAATCCATTTAATGCTACTATCATCCAGCCAGCATTTCCCTGTCTTTGCTAAAGAATAATGTGAAACTGCCAGATGCTCTGTTGAAACTTACTTCAAGTGCCTTAGAAGCACAAACAATAAGGTCAATACTATACTACAAATATTAGGGAGGCATGAACCTTGTTCTCAAGAAGCTCATCATTTTAAAAGAGATATAAACTCTCTCTTGGCAATCCTCCAGTCTACCAGAATAGCAATCTCATAAAAATGAGTCATCCTGTATTTCATCTCCTTACTCTTGGCTATATCCTGTCGTAAAATTAAAAAACATCTTTTCTCTCATGGTGTTTACAAGTTTCAAATATTTATAGACTTATGTCTCTACTTCACTGTCTCTTAGCCAAGATGAATATATTTAGTTCTCCTTCCCCTTTCCTTTTAAAGCAATTCTCCAACTTCAGCCATCTTTTGGGAGGCTTTATTTAAATTCTCTATTTCTGTACTGAATTCTAGGATCCAGATGACATAATCAAAACACTATTCTACATACAAAATCAGTCATGAAAAACACTAATCTGGGCCTGGTGCCGTGGCCTAGCGGCTAAAAGTCCTTGGCTGAACACACCAGGATTCCATATGGACGCCGGTTCTAATCCCGGAAGCACTGCTTCCCATGCAGCTCCCTGTTTGTGGCCTGGGAAAGCAGTTGAGGACGGCCCAAAGCCTTGGGACCCTGCACCCGTGTGGAGAACCAGAAGAGCTCCTGGCTCCGGATTGGCATAGTACCGGCCGTTGTGGTCTCTTGGGGAGTGAATCAATGGGCGGAAGATCTTCCTCTCTGTCTCTCCTCCTCTCTCTATATCTGCCTTTCCAATAAAAATAAATAAATCTTAAAAACAAAAAAAAAAGAAAAACACAAATCTTTTAGATGACATAATGCTATGTGTGTAATCCCTAATACTGGCTTTATTTATTTATTATTTCTTCATTTAACATTATTACTCTACAAACTTACATTCACTCTAGCACTTTTTTTTTTAAGATTTCTACTTAGTTTTATTGGAAAGGCAGATTTACAGAGAGAAGGAGAAACAGAAAAAAAAATTTTCTGCCTGTTGGTTGACAACCCAGCAGGACCCAATGGCTAGAGCTGAGCCGATATGAAGCCAGGAAACAGGAGTCAGAAACTTCTTCCAGGTCTCCCACACAGGTGCAACATCCCAAGGCCTCGAGCCATCCTCCATTGCCTTTCCAGGCCACAAGCAGACAGCTGAATGGGAAGTAGAGCAGGCAGTACATGAACCAGTGCCCATATGGGATGCCAGAGCTTGCAGGTGGAGGATTAGCCATTGAGCCAATGTTCCAGCCCCCACTCCAACACTTTGAATTGTATGGACTTGCCAGGTTTCTCCTATCAACTGAAAACAATGCTCTAGACTAACAACACAGAGACAGATTTCTTTATTTTATTTTTTAAGATTTTAAAATTTATTTCAATGGCATAGTTACAGAGGGAAAACAAGGGAGAGCTTCCACCTGCCCAAAGGGTGAAGCACTCAGAGCATTAGCAGGGAGGTGGCCTGTAGCGGGACTTACCGGACTGGAGTGGACACTCTAACACAGGATGCATGCATTAACTCAATCAGCTGCACTAGAACACTGGCCCCAGGGCAGATTTCTTAGAGCAACAGGAAATTAAGTATTAAAAAAACAAAGTATGCGTTGACTAAAACAGCAATTCTAAAACTTACAAAGATTTAGTTTTTTTTTTTTTAATTTTTGATGATGTTTACATAGTTGACTAGGGTAGAAAGGGTTAGCTTTAAATATCTGCAGCTTCTTTCCAAGACCATATGCAGGTTACATGTGCCCCTAAATTTTTCTATGTATTACAAAATACATCAATGCAGTAAGTAGACAGTCTAAATCTGCCACCCCTGAAGATACTTCGGAAAAGCCATGACAATATGGTTCCGACACCAGAAATCATGTCACAGACTAGATGCCCAGCAGTTCAAAGATTCATATCTTTAATGAGAGCTGCCTAGTTAGAGACTAGAGGTATTTGGTAAATATGTGAGTAGAACAGAAACAAGTGCTGTACTAGGTTAGAGCCATAATAAAAGCACATTTTCAACACTGTGTTCATGTGATGGGCACAATAATGATAACCAGAGGGAAAAAAAATTCATTCTGCTTACAAACTCAGCATTTTAAAATCAAACAAAAAGCTCTCCCTTCCTACCATCTAAACAGCAACTGGGAATCAAATGGTGTCATCCTGGTCCTTCTCAACTCATTTTATCCAGATTTGAGCCAAATGGAACCACACATGTTTTCTGAGATAATTCAAGTTGTTTCCTACTTCAGGAGTTTTACACCAACATTCCACTTAAGTTCCTATTCCTATCTAAATTTTACTCATTGTGCAGCTCAAATGCCACCTGTTCTCTCGAATTCTCCCTCATCCCCCATTTGGCTCCTCTTCTAACTTTGATGGACATGTGCCCTCTGTTCCTCAGGCAGCCACAATCACATTCTGTCTCATCGATTTACAGTGTAGCTGTTTGCGATTAGGTCATGTTTCCTCTCTCGGACTATGTAATCCTCTTGAGAAGGTCTTTGATACAGTCACATATGATGCAGTCTCTCTCTACACATACAAGAAAATAGTAAGTGTTCATTGAGGACAGTGAATTCAAACACTAACCACCCCAATATTCCACCCCAACCCCCAACAACAATAACAAAAAAGACCAACAAGGCAATAATCACTATCCTCACTAAGGAAAGATCTCAATACCTACTGTGTACAGGTGCACAAAAAAATTTGACAGGCCATGCCCCTTCTCAAAAAATTTAGAAGTAGGAGATGAGCCAGGACATCCACGTAAGTTGCTATCATCCTAATGGATCAATGCCATATAAGAAGTAAAAGTGAAGTACAACAAGACCCAATGACAAGCAGAGAAAACTTCCAAGTAGGGACAGATGTGAGGGTAAGTTCTAATCTTGGTCATGTAAAGTGAAGGGAGGAAAGAAATAAAAATCTTTGAAGCAGAAAACCTTAGAGAGAAAGCAGGGAACAATCAACAGCTGATTCAGCAGTATGCTGTATGTGAAAGATGACAAGAACAGAGAAAACTTTCAAAGGTAGTTGGCTTGACTCTGAAAACCAAGCAGGGGACTGGAGCTTTAGTCTGCAAGTGATGGAGAATTGTCTCAAAGGCCCTTTGTGAGGACTGAGTCACAGCCAGAAGCTTAATGCAGACCAGAGGGGGAAAGATCACAGATGCAAGAGACTAGTACAAGTCTGCAAGAAACAGGTGTTAAAGATCTGAACTGGGAACAGGGTGCTTGAGATGGAAATGGATGAAAGGAAGGATAGCTCAGAGGTGACACTGGGAAGAACCTCGCAAGTTCTGGATGTCAAGTGCAAATAAGGTTCTGCAAAGAGGTCAGAGAGTGTCTAGGCAGGGCAGGGGAAGGTGGTGCCATGACCAAGACGAAGAATATTAACACAGCGATAAGTCTCGAGGGCAGCAGACTGCGTCCTGGCCAAACCGAATCTCATCGCTGCACATGCAGGGGTCAATCTCACAAGTAAGACTGTAAGACTTTACTGTAAGACACAGTAAACTGTGCAATGCAGAAAAATGAATTCAATTTTGTGAAACAAGAGCTCAAGTTAATTCATTTTCAATCAAAGAGTCTGATGAGTCAGAAATGATCCTAAGTATAACTCACATGGGTTACATAAAGGTATATAGAAAATCAGAACCTAAACACTTATTTGCAGCAGAGGTCTTCTCAAGATCTGTAATAATCCTGGGGAGTCCAGAATCATTTGACAACATAGTGACTCATGGTCCAACAGGAAGTGGACAGGTCCAAGTGGAAAAGAAACTCATTGTTAAAAAAAAAAAAACAGAAGGAGGAATGGTTTTGTTAAATGCATTTCTTAAAATGACAAATACATCTTTGTGGTCACTACTCTTACATGGCCCAGTTTAATTATAACGCCACAAGAGGTGGGCCTGAATAATAAGGTGCCATGGGACACTGGCTCTCTCTAGGCATTCATTCTCTTCTATAATAAACATGTCGCTCAGTTATTGAAACTAGAATCTCCTTAAACATAGGTCCCTCATATCCCTAGAACTCTCAAAAGCCTAAAAACAAAGCAGCATGAGGCCACTTTTAGCAAAGGGAGCAAATTAAAACTACCAAAGATAAACTCATGAGGACTGTAACTACTCAGAAACCATTTATCTACTTAAACAATGACAACAAAAATCTCAGCAACACCAACGTAAAATGGCAATATGAAGACAAATACCTACCACAGAATATTAATAACTGCTTGTTATATGGATAGTAAATAAAAAAGCAAAATCAAACATTTAAATTGTGGCTAAATTTCCTATAAAAGAACACACTATCAGATTCATTTATTCATTTATAGATTAATGTCGATAATAACATTCATACAAAATCATTATCCTAATATCATAAGAGGGAAAAAAAAACCCAAAAACTAAGTCTTTACTTACTGATTAATGTGTTTACTAATGATGAGCCACAGAATAAAGAAAAAAATGGATGAGTATCCCATCAACACGTCACACTGATCACTTGTTTTAAAACCACATTTACAGCCAAACACAAAAGTAACAGAATAACTAACATACACAATATGTCAGTAATCTTTCAGTTGTAGATTTAAGGATGATTTTACTTCCTTCTTTTTTACTTACATGTACTTCAATACTTTTTTCTATAATTAATTTTTTGTTGTAACTATACCAAGAGGAAAAGGTACTTTTTTTTCAAGAGAAGGGAAAAACATATTGATAAATTTAAAACAAACATACTTACCAGATCTCTGTGAAGCACCCAATTTGCATGGAGGTAATGAATACCATCAAGAATCTGGTAAAGTAATGATTTAACCATAGATCTTGGCAACTGCATTGGCTTTTTATTTGCTTTTGATGCACGATGAAACTTAATAATATGCTAAAAATTAAAAAAAATGTTTATTATAATAAATAATTTTTGCTAATAACTAGGCCAATAAAACACAAGCAAGGCCACAATAAATGTCCTACACTTATATATTTACTCATTGTATTTATCTATCTGTTTTTGGATAGGCAGAAGGACGGGGCTCCCACCTGCTGGTTCAACCCTCCAGTGCCAGCAATGGCTAGGACCAAGTTGGACACATTCTGTGTCTCATACAGATGACAGGAACTTATTTACTTGAGCCATTCCTGCTGCCCTACAAGGACTGTACTGTTCAGACACTGGAATCAGTGGGGTCAGGAGCTGGGTGTGGAATCCAGGTACTACAATATGGGACAAGGAGATCTTAACTGCTGTGCTAAAGGCCGGCTCAAAAAGGCTCCGTATGTTTAAGTCATTTATTAAAGGGCAGAATGACACAGAAGAAGAATACTTTTAAAATGAGGTCTTTCAAAAACAATCTATTTTGGGGGGGGGTCAATGTGACTATGTGAGTCTGGGGTTAGCATGATTAAATGTACTGAGACAATTATGATTTTTACCCAGTAGAACCAAAAGGTAAAAAGAAATGGTTGATACTTAAAATAATTGCCTAGGAATAGTATTAGTATTGGTTATTCTTTACTCAAAGAATGAAAGGTTTTTGCAAACAAAATCTGTATCTCTTCACATTCTACATATATTTAAAAACAGCACTTAGTGCTTTTCAGTAAAATCACAGTATGTATAGTTGAATTTCTGGATTAATTCCCCTTTGATTTGGTTCAAAACCAACTAAGATATATTCTAGGAGTTAACGCCAAATGTGAAAATGATGAGAAGGAAAGCGAGATAAATGGAGAACTTAATTCCATTGAAATATACACAATGGGATCATATTTAAACTCTTATGTACACGTTATATTGTGGTTATTAAAGAAAACAAAACACTGTAATGAAAAGAAGGAAATCCTACCAGCCTCTTGCTAATTCTCCACTGCCACCTCCTTCTCCCACCACACCCCAACTTACCTGCTTCAAACATGTCATTTAAAACACTCCTCAGGGGTGGGCATCTGGCCACATGGTTGACATGCCCAGGCCCTGTTACAGAGTGCCTAGGTTCAGTTCCTGGCTTCAACTCCTGAATCTAGCTTCCTTGTGATGGAAGGTGGAAGCACTGACGGCCCAGGTCACTGGGTTCTAGCCAACCACGTGGGAGACCTACACTGAATTCCCAGCTCCTGGATTTGGTCTCTGCTCAAATCCAGCTGTCACGGACATTTGGGGAGAGAGCCAACAGATAGGAACTCTCCCTCTGTTTCTGTCTCAATTAAATAAAAAATGTTTAAAACAAAAAATAAAGCTGTATTCAAGCACGAGTTATTATCAGCAAACCAAATTGTTACCAGTACTCCAATGACTTTATAAATGACCAAACACTGTATAAAATTATTAAGTTATTTAAACATCTTCCTTAGACTGTTTAATGATATCAACTTGATTTCACAAACAAGAAAATTAGAATCTAAACCATGGTAATGATTTGCAATATAAATACAGTGGGAGACCCACTCCCAACAGAACTTTCAACAGCCACAGTTTTTAAAACAGAAAAAATTAACTTGTGGGCCACAGTAGTAGGGTTGTAGAGATCTGAGGAGTCCTGTGCCCAGCTATCACTGATGTGCAAAGTGAATCATTAAATAAGCCTTGGTAGAAACACAGGACAGGAGTCTGGAGGAAACAAAATTTCTATCAATTTCCGTGAAAAGAACCGAAAGGTTCTTGTCAACATTTGCTGTAACAGCATAAATGCTCATGGTTCCTCCAACACCTACAGCCTGTCAAAGTTTTTCCTAGGTGGACTCACAATTTACACAGAAAATAGATCATACCTTTTGAATCAAAATTTAATTATCCACAATTTTAACTTTTTGTCAACTTTAAATATTTTTGTTTTTAGTACTTCCTCAAACAAAATGTTTTAATGCCATGATTCTTAATTCTAAAAGCTAGGCATTCTAAATTTTTGCTTCCTTTGTGTACCAATAAAACATCGTTAGGATTGGCAAAACCATGCATTTACTTCTCTTTACGGGAGCCAGGTGTAGATGGTAAAATGATCCATTTAAAAGTATAGATCTGGCTAAATATGGATCACTGTCTCACAAGGAAGGTCATGTTCATTATACATCTTAGTAAACTTCCAATATTAGTCCCATAAAATTATAATCTCTCCTTCCGTTACAGTTTTTTGAGGGGCTGGAGCTGTGGTCTATAGGTTAAGCTTCCACCTGCAGTGCTGGCATCCCTATGGGCATCAGGTCAAGTTCTGGCTGTTCCACTTCCAAACTGGCTCCCTGCTAACGTGCCTGGGAAAGCAAGTCTTTGGATCCCTGCAACCATGTGGGAGCCTACAAGAATCTCCAGGCTCCTGACTTTGGACTGAGCATCTCTAGCCGTTGTGGTTATTTGGGGAGTGAACCAGCAAATGAAAGATATTTCTCTCTCCCCTTCTCTGCCTCTTCCTTTCAAATAAAACTAAATAAATCTTTAAAAAGTTTTTTTGACATGACATTTCTGAATATTACGAATACCATCATCTCAGTAGTTCGGCAGTTTATTGCTCAAATCCCCTGCAATCAAAATTAACTGTGTATTGTCTGCCCTCTGAACGATGGTCAGCAGAGCTTTCTTTTCCACTCACTAGCAATAAGGAACAGACACGTTTAAGCCCATAACCATGGTAGATGCTTCTAGGAACACAGCGAGTGTGGACTTACCCACAGGTCATGCTCTGCATAGTCGAAGAGCAGCCACACCTTCCTGTCGCTGTGCGAGAGGAACACCTTCTGCAGGGCGATCACATTGGGATGCTTCAGTTCCCGCAGAAGCTGAATGCAGGAGGACAAGGGCATGATGAACTGCTTACAATGTCAAAACAAAAAATACCCAACATACCATCCTCACAGATCAACATTAAGGTGCCTATCTTTCCGATTGTTTTCCCCATGTGTATGCTTTTATTTTGTAATATGCTTACTTTTTGAATGGACAAATGTTTCTATTTTTTTTTTCATCCTATGTCCACAGTGGGGAGAGGGAGAGGAGGACCACTCCTGGCTATTAAAATATTCCATCAGCACTAAGGCATAGGGGACAGTCATTGGATGACACCTTAGACCACCAATGTGGGGAAGGGTACTTCTAAGAGTGTGACTTGGGTAGTTTTGACAGTTCTGAGATGTTGTTGGCTTCATTGCAAAGGGTTGAGAACATCTTTCCAAAGTCTACTGACTGACCAGGTTTACCTTAATGCATCCACACGCCCAGGAACGTGTACATATACTTACAGGGTATTTAAATCCATGCAAATACAGTACACACTAATTATATCAAAGTAACTGGCATAACTATCACCCCAGAAATGAATCACTTCTTTGTGCTGGAACATTCAAAACTGCTATCAATTTAACTGTTGCCAATCACAGTTATCCTGCTGTGCTAGAAAACATATTTGTCACAATCAGCTGTACTCCTGTACCCATTATCTTCTCTCCATTCTTTCTCCCACAACCTCTGGGCTCTAGGAGCCACTAATCTACTCTCTTCTCTTTGAGATCAATTTCTTAGCTTCCACATTAATGGAGAACACACAGTTTTATCTTTTTCTTGTAATTTATTTAATCTAGTGTAAATTCTTTAGTTCCACTCATGCAGCTATAAATGGCAGAATTTTGTTCATCTTTATAGATGAATAATATTCCAGTATGGGTATATTTTTGTGTGTGTTTTAAAAATGGAATCACAGGGTGGGCATTGCTGTACAGTGGGTTAAGTTATAGCTTGACACACCTACACTTCATATCAGAGTGCTGGTTAAAGTCCCAGCTACTCTGCTTCCAATCCAGTTTTCAGCTACTCCAGCATCTGTGCCTGGGAGTGGTTGTGTACTTGCCACCCACATGGAAGACCTGACTGGAGTTCTGGGTCAGCTCTCATGGTGGTGAGCACTGGGGGAATAAACCAGCTCATGGAAGCTCTTCCTCTGTCTTTCAAACACAATGGACATAAATAATTTTTCTTTTAATTGGGGGAAGATATTTAACAATCCCTGCACTTATCCAATTGGCTCAATTTTTTTTTTTAAATCAGAATACTCAGCAAAAGAGTGACCCTCACAGCTACTGATAAATGTCAGAGCTGAGAAGAGGCTCACAAAGAACAAACTTGTTGAGCTAGACTCGAACAAGGAAGAAAAAAGACAGACTAGATCAGCAAGGGAAAGCTTAGTAACTGGCACAGAACCCATAGTTCCTTGATAAAAATATTTAGCAACAATGATACTAACTGCTCAAGGTCAAAGTTTTATAAATATGTCTGCCTAAGGAATCTTTAACCAGGGTTCAGATTAAGGGAGAGGGAAGCATACTGAGAAGCAATGTGATATTTTCAGTTCTGTGTGTCTCTGAAATGTAAATATCCATAGAAAATACAAAAGGGAATAAAAAGAGTACTTCCATTGAAAAGTTTCTACCTGCAAGATGTTTATACACAAACGTGTCCCTCTCATTTAATCCATGTAACACCAAAGTATGTGCACAAAACCTGAGGTTCAGTGTGAAAAATGTAACTTGATCCAAGTCCAAAAGCCAGAAAGAGAGAGGTTTAGAGAATTTTCAGACTACTTGCCAGCTGCCATATTTCTTAACTGTTTTCTGCCATTGCACCAGCCCCTCTTAACTGTTTTCTTTTTCTTAGAGTTTTTAATCTTATTCTTAATATTGTTTACATAGCTGAGAGGGATGCATGCCCAAGCAAATCTCTGATTAGGGTGGGGAAGGCTGAGGTATGGAGGAAGGTGGACTGGACAAATGTTTCCTTTTTTTTTTTTCTCTCCTGTTTCCCCAGTGGGACAGGAAGTGGGAGCAACTCCTTGCTGTCAAAAAAAGATAGTCATCCCCAGAGATGGGGGCAGTCATTCGATGCTGTCTTAGAGACTCCAACGTGGGGAAGAGTGTTTCAAGGGTGTTACTTGAATGGTTTTGATAGTTCTGAGATATCACTGGCTTCATTACACAAGGGTTGAGAAAATCTTTCCAAGGTCTACTGGCTGACCGAGTTTGCCTTAGTGCAACCACAGGCCCAGTGACATGTTGCAAAACTTGATCAGGAGAGTGTCCAACCTGTTTTGCTTTCCATCCTCCCACAAGGCACTTGACGTCTTCTGCTGGCCTAGATGAGCTGGCTGTCATGCCCCTCGTGTCTATCTAGGCATGCTCTCCATTTGCATGGGCATCAGCAATTGAGGAGGCCCAGTCCTGACACATGTCTTCTAAGGTTGGAACACATATTTGTGATTTTCCCCATGGCCAGGGGTTGAATCCAGGCGTCTAGTTTTGGAGTCCCCTAGGAAACCTCACCTGGGGCGATCTCAGACTTGATTCCTGGGTGGCTGATTTCCTAGTTTTTCGGTTCTATTGGTGTGCCTCTGAATCTCAGCTCCCCTCTGTCACTGACACCTTGACAGCCTTGCTGAAAGTCCTCTACCACCTGAAAGTTGGACATGAGTCTTGGATATGACTCCTGGGTCAGGCGCCCTGCCCATACGCCCTGGACCACAGCTAGGAAGTAAGAACTTGGATGGGCCAGGCTCCACTTGTCCACCTGCCACTTTCTAAAGCCAGCATCAGGGTCCTACCCCATTTCTCATGAAAAGGAGCTCCAGAGAAGACACATGGTTCTCCTGGATGAGGTGTGTGGAGGTGACCTGTGATCATTATGGATCCTGCCTAAGAAATGTCAGCTAATGACGCAATCCAGGAAAGCTGCGCTTTGGAGGGATGCACATCTACATTCAGAGTTGGCTGTTTTCAACAACTCAGTCTCTCTGAGCCAGCTGCACTATTTTAACGACCTCACTGCCACAAGCACCTGGTCCTTGCTCAGAGGCTTCTCCCCAGACACTTGTCACTCTCTATTGGACTCCTTGGCATTATTGACCACAGAGTTTGCCTTTATTGAGGCTCTACCAAAAGTATGTTCACTTTGTAGCCTGATATAGTTGGGAGAGTGAAATTCCACTGTAGCATCTAAACCAGACTACTGGGGCACCAGCCACTAGGAGAGATCCCCAAGATCTGGGCCTCATTTGTCTGGGGGCAAGGAAGTAATATTTAATCAACACCTTTTAAAAAATAATCAGGGCCCGGCACAGTAGCCTACTGGCTAAAGTCCTCACCTTGCACACACCGGGATCCCATGCGAGCACTGGTTTGTATCCCAGCGACCCCACTTCCCATCCAGCTCCCTTCTTCTGGCCTGGGAAAGCAGTAGAGGACACCCAAAGCCTTGGGACCCTGCAATTGGGAGACCTGGAAGAGGCTCCTGGCTTCAGATCAGCGTAGCTCTGGTCGTTGTGGCTGCGTGGGGAGTAAATCATCAGATGGAAGATCTCCCTTTGCCTCTCCTCCTCTCTGTATATCTAACTTTACAATAAAAATAAAAACAAGCCTTAAAAAATCTATTTGCAATAGCTATGGTCTGTTGATCCTTCTATAGAAATTACAAATTAAAATCCTATGTAAAAACACTATTCCCAATAGCTCAACATAGTTACATGACTAAAATGCCAAAAGAACATCCAGGAATACAGGTTGAGATGTTTCTCTATGACTCCTCTTGCTTCTTGGAGGTGGCAGCTGTTATTAGCTGCTTATTAATCATTCCAAGGTTTCTTTATGTGTAAATAAAAGCAATTCACATATTTTTGTCCTCCCTTACTTACATAAAATACAGTACAACAGACAGTACTGCAACTTGCTTTTTTTTTTTTTCATTTTTTCCTTGAAAACCTGGTGATCAGCGAAGCATATCTACACAGCGTAACATACACAGAAATGCTTCTCATCCTTTTTATAGCTACATGGTATTTCTACGTCACCCTTTCTGCTGTGGCAAGCCATACATGACATAAAACAACACCCATTGGACCTTTATGCCTCTAAACATAGTGTCACTATCAATCACACTATAGCTCGGAATTCCTTACAATTCTAGAGGGCAAAGTTTTCTAGTGATTCATGTAGGAAAAAGATTTGCCTTATGATGGGCAAAAAAGTGTTGTCAAAGGTATATCCTTTCAGTTATTTTGCTCTGATCTTATGGGAGCTCTTTCTCAACACTATACATTATAAATACATTTTTAATTGTTTATTTTTATTGAAAAGGCAGATCTGCAGAGAGAAGGAAAGACAGACAGATCTTTTATCCCCAAATGGCTGCAACAGCTGGAGCTAAGCCAGTCTGAAGTCAAGAGCTAGGAGCATCTACCAGGTCTCGCACATGGATACAGGGTCCCAAAGACTTGGCCCATCCTCTGTTGCTCTCCCAGGCCATAAACAAGGAGCCGGATTGGAAGTAGAAGAGCCAGGACACAAACTGGTGCCCATATGGGAAGCTGGTGCTTACAAATGGATGATGACCCATTTGAGCCATTGAGCCAACCTCACATTCTACATATTTAAGGGAGACAGGGATCTCCCAATCACAAGTTTGCTTTCCAAATGCTTGCAACAGCTGAGACAAACTGAAATCAGGAGCCCAGAACTCAATCCAGGTCTCCCACAAGAACAGCGGGAACCCAACTACTTGAGCCATCATTGCTGCCTCTTGGGATGTACATGGTGATTTTTCACTTTAATTCACTTATTAATTTCAGTTTTTCTGACCTATAAATGTATCTGTTCAAAAGGTTCGCCTGAGTGGACTATACTGTTGGCTCAGTTCATCCAATTAATAAGTTAAAGCAAATACATAAAATGGTCCATTTTATATCTGCATGATAGCCACAATTTTACTGTTGAAAGCTATCCTTAATACTCACTGTATTAAG